ACGTGGCAAACATGGAACCAACCAACCAGCCAGCCAGCCAAACAAGAGCCTTCAGAAGAGAAGCACACAACAACAACAAAAAAACAAACAGACTACCAAAACGAAGCGAAACATTTGTCATATTTGTTTGCGCATGTGCAACAAGTCAAACACTTTGTGTTGCAGCTTTTTTAATGTTTCGCTTTCAGTTGTCATTGTTGCTTCTGCTGCTGTTGCAGTTAGTTTGCCTGCCTTGCTTTGTTGCAATACATTGCAAGAATATTGGTTGAGTAATACGATCACTACAATTGTTTGCAGTTGTTGCTGTTGCTGTTGCCGTTGTTACCATTGTCACAGCTATTTGGTGGCAGTTGCTATTTTTGTTGTCGTCTGAGACAGTAACATTGTCAGAAGTCAAATGTCGTAATGTTGCAATTATTCGTATTTAGATAATTCCTCTTATGACTGCATTGTATTGTATGGAGGTTAAGAGGCTTACATCGACAATGTATGTAAATGTAACATGGTCAAAACTAAATAAACAAGTTTCAAAGTGAAAATATATTTGTGGCACAAAGGGGGAATTTTTATTATAAGGATATATTTTACAATTAATTAATATGCTCGAATTAGTATATCCTGTGTGTAGTGTTATTATTATTTTCCGATTCGTGAATGCGATCTTTACAAAGAATTACACTCAGATATTTGTTCTTGTTTTATATGCTCCGCCATAAGATAGAGTGTGAACTAATTTAATTAATCTGAGTAAGTTATTTTTTGGTTCCTTATCGGTAAAGCTTAGTTTATTTCGATTTCAAATAAAAGTATAACCAGTGAGCGGAGCAGTATAGTCGGACGGGGCCGACCATACGATACCCTACACAACTTCCATGAAAATCTAACTTTCTGTGGTTCTATATTCTGAGTTTGGGCAATATTTCGCGATATTTGCACACTTTTGACTGGCTAGAGGTCAGCAAATGTTACTAATAATCAGTACAGCCCCTCTAATTACGTGTCCAGTTTCCTTCACCGTGGGTTGTGTTGTGATGTTCGGCTTTCGACTCGAAAAGTACAAATAATTAAGTTTTCGGTCCACTTTATCTGAAAAGTTATTATCTGATCATCACCTAACATTTTAGGCGTTGTCCTTGACCATAACTGGAACCTCATAAAACATTTCAAAGCGATCAGCGCTATATTTCCGTCCTCCCGCATCCGAGTACATACGACAATATAAATGGTATAAATTTAAAGGCCAACCACTCATCTTGTATATACTATAAATTCTCGGCTCTATGTCCTTCTGGAGTAAATATATTCGCTATAGAATACAGATTTTGTAATTTTTCACACAAAAGTCAGGATCCATTTGATCCGATCTTTATCAAAACAGGCATGGCCCGATCCCCTTCTCCATGCAAAAATTCTCGGTGTTTGGGCCATAATTGCGGCCTTTGGAGCGACCAGAAAAACCGACAAGAATAAAGTTTTTGGGCCATTTCATCCCCTAAATATTAATCGATCTTTTCCTACATGCAAAATTTCGTGAAGATTGGTCCATAGCTGTGGCCTGTATCGAGTTTACAAATTATAATGGATAGACGGACGGACGGACACACATGTCTAGATCGACTCAGCTAGTCGAGATATGATGATCGGTATACTTAAAGGTGGGTCTAGGACCAATATTTCGCGGTGTTACAGACTTTTGGGGCTTCACAAATCTATAATACCCTGACAACATAGTTGTGTAGAGTATAAAAATTAACTGAAAATATGTTCAGTGAACAAAATTTATTAATTTTAATATCTTATCCTAACAATATGTACAACATTTTTCAACAAATCTCTGGATCATCAATATATTGCTACATTTCTTCTTCTACATACGCGGTCTGATCGTGGTCAGCGTTTCCTGAGTTTCGTATGTTCGAACGTCGTTATGTGTACATATATTTTGATAATATCTGCCATTTTGAATTGCCAGGTTTCTTACGGATAAAAATGTTAGTTGTGTATTGGTGTGCTCTTCTATCTTTTACTTAAATTTTTAAATGTCGATCAAAAACAACGTCTCTAATAATAACCTCTTAAGGGAGTGTCTGTGTGAAAGTTTTGCTCACTGTTTAGTTCGACTGCAATGGTGGGACGATCAATAATGGATTTGCACCAAGATAACGATGATGGTGTATACATGACCCACCTTTTCCCAGGTTACTGGTAGATTTTTATAAAGTCTCAGAGGATTGAACTTACTGGCCATTCGATCACATAACAAATCAGAGTCAAGTTCTCAGTCGATGATGGTTATATTAGATAATATACGGCCCTGCAAATGGATTTGATAAACAAACCATACACTACATTCCATATATTTCATCAATATAGTTACAAAAAGTTTCAATTTAAGAAAAAAAATTTGCAATATCCATTCACATTTAATTGATATCATATTTACAACAATGCCATGCCACATACATTTCAAAATATTGAATATCAAATTAATAACATTTTTATTGACCCATTTATTTGGCCAATTTAAATTGTAAACAACAGAAATTATCCAGAATTCCACCATGCCTGCCGAACGAACACATTGGACATATTGAAGAAAAAAACACCAATAACGACAAAACTGACAATTAATAACGACGATGTTTAACAATATTTGTGACCCAATTTTATGACATGTGCAGATATCGATATTCCGATGCAAGTCTGTCATTATGTATGTGTGCAATACAACTATATGAGCCACGTGTAGTTGTATGTATTGGTGAGTATATGAATCGTACAAATACCAATGATTACATGGAAATCCAATTTGATATGTATATGTTTGTGTGTGCTGCATTCCCTCCTATATTATTGGGCCAAAGTATCAATTACTTGACGCCAATTGGAAAACAGCTCACCAGTCAATTCATTGAAATGGCAAAATAAGTCAAATGCAAGCAAACGGTAAACCCAATGTTGAGGCAAATCTAACCGGACTTTAGCACAATATAAGCATTATGAATATAAGTTGGATATGTGCACATGGGTAAGGTATATTTCGCTCCTAATATCCCATTATATGGGATATTATGTTTGAATTTTACAGATATGTAGGTAGTTTTGGAAATTTTTACCTATGTGCAGAGAGGTACTATATTTGGTACAATTTGGATTTTGGTGAAACGATAGAGGTGGAACAATAAAATTTGGAAATATGATTTATACTGCATTGAAGAATGTGGGAAGTTTGGGAAATTCATACTAATGTGTACTAAATTTGGTACAATAAAAATTTTGGGTGAACCGATAGAGCTGGAATCCAGAAATTTAGTGTTATGGTCACTGTTGGGGTGCATGGTTAGGATATGTAGATGGTACCAAATGTGAATTTAGGTGAATCGTTAGAACTAGAACACTGACATTTGCAAATAAGGTTACTTTTGGAGTGTAGACTTAGGGTATGGATGTAGTTTTGGAAATTCATACTTATGGGTACTAATGAACCGATAGAAATTGAATCTTGAAATTTGTTGTTGGGTTGTAGGATAGTGTATGAAGTTTTGGAAATTCATGGTAATGTTACAACAAATTGGTTCTAAATTTGGTAGAATTATATTTGGGCGAAGCGATTGGGTTGGAATCCTGAAATTGGAAAATATGATTTCTGTTAGATTTATATAAATGTGTACTTAATGGTACTAAATTTGGCAAAATGAAGATTTGGGTTGACGTATAGAGCTCGAATCATGAAGTTTGGAATTATTTTGCAGTATAGAGCTAGATTTGTGTTGCGGTCGGAATTTCTGTGTAGTGTTGAGATACGGACGTAGTTTTGGAGATACATACTATAAGAGATCTAAGGAACTAAATGATAGTAAAATTTTAATTATGGTCAATATTAGTGAATATGTTGAATAGCACTTCTGATATATGCAGTTCTCTGTAAAAAAATTATATATTTAGACATGTTTAAATAATTCTCATTTTCTCTAACGAAGTAGCAGGCATATGCTAGACAATTTAGAGCAAATTATATGCAAAACACAAATGATTTCATGTCTAGTCAAATTTAAATGCAATGTCTCATTTGTAAACCCACAAACACTCATAGCTACATACATCTCACACTCCTATGTACATTAAATAAATGCAAATATAAGCACTCCATATATGCATTTAGTTAGTTGGAAAAGTAAATAATGTTACGCTCCGAATGGAGCCATGAACACAAACATACATTTAACATTTGTATCAATTTCAAAGGATTTCCGGTTAATTTCAAACTAGATAATATTTAATATGACATTTTTTGCATTACTTTACGCTGTAAAATGGCAAACCTGGAAATGCATCCGTTTTTGTGTGGCACACCGGCTACCACAGCATGGGCTTTTTGATCCATGGCATCGTTTCATTGTGACTGGCCATAATTAAGAATCATATCATCATCACATTATGTTCGACACACTCACTCCCAGCCCACTCATTTGGAAGCGGTAAATCCAGTAGACAGTAGACGTTATGGACACAAACTGTGAAATTTATTGAAATCCATGGGATTTGAATTTGTTATGCGGTCCATTTAGTGGATTTTACCGTGCCACCATGTAATTATATTAAGTGAAAAATTATATGTTTGCCACTACAAGTACGCCATCTATCTTAGTTTGTGTGACAGACGGATAGGCAAACAACCAGCAGACAGCAAACAGACGGACACACAGCCAGACAGATAACATTTAAGTCGCTCCCTGCCTGGACTCTGTGGCAATTCCTGGGAACAGCAATCGAAAACGCGAGTGAGGTGTGCACATGCGCAGCCATTTACAAAGCTCAACTGTTGTACATTTGTCTGCTTGTGTCTGATTGCCAAGAGTATCAATGTAAGCAATAGCCAACAAACGGCACCCAGCGAGCAATGGGTGGTTGGTTCACTCCGTTTTTTAGATCTCCCCTCCTCATTTGGTCAGATTAAAGTGTTTTCTTTCGATTTTTATCAATCAATTAAAAGCGATTTATTAACACTTGGCTGTATTCCTGTCGCTGGCTGCTATTGCTCTGTAGCAATAGCCACAGTCGGAATTATATTTAAAATTGAACTCCACCAAGTGTGTCACAGGCACAGGCAATCGGGGTATCACAGATTTCCTACATTTGGTTCACAAGAAATTTGATAGGTAATATACCTGTGTAATGTGCACTGCTGTGAGAGATTGCTGAATTTTGTCGTTTTATTTGTGTTGTTGTTGTTTTTGCAGTTTGAAAACAACAATCTCAAATTTGGCTTGAAACAAAAACATGCAAATGCATTTTGAAATATGGTAACCACAACTTTTGACTACTTTTTCTTTATGACTGCAAAGGTAATATTATTGGGGCCATATGAAACTTAATTTGAGTTATTTTTCCTTGTCGACTAATGGTTCAATAGGGGTTTTTGGGTCATTAGGTTCAGATATCAATGAGAAATTACAATTTTATGGCAAATTGTATTTTTTGATTTTTATTGGTTAAACATAGGTCACAAAAATTTTGAAAATTGGGTCATATTTGTATCATAAATTTGAAATGAGGGTCTCTAATGGAGTGTAAAATAGATGTAGCAAAGAATTTTTTTGGTGATTCGAACTATAAGTATCCGAAAAGTACTAAAGTGGTACAATTTCGTAGCATGTGGATGGAAAGAGTTTTGGAAAATGTTTACTTATGTGTAGGAAAAGTACTAAATCGTACTATAATAGGTACAATTTGGATGTGAGTGAACCCATAGAGCGGGAACAATGAAATTTGGAGTTAGGATTATTGTTGGGGTGTAGGATTAGGGCCAGGATTCAGTTTAAAGAATTAATAATGGGTACTAAATGGTACTAAATTTGGTACAATTTGAATTTTAGGTGAACCAATAGAGCTAGAATCATGAAATTCGGAGTCAGGATCACTGTTGAGGTGAAAGATTGAAATATGTAGGAAGTTTTAGAAATATGTACTAATGTGTACTAAATTAGTTACAATTTGAATTGTGTGTGAAGCTATAGAGTTGAAATCATGAAACTTGGAGTTAGGATCACTGTGGAGGTGTAGGATTGGGATATGTAGGATGTTTTGGATATTGGTACTACTGTGTACTAAATTTGGTACAATTTGAATTGTAGGTGAACCAATAGAGTTGGAATCCTGAAACTGAGATTTAGGAGCATTGTCGGGGTGTAGGTTTGGCTTAAGTAGTAAGTTTTTAAAATTCGAATTACTGCGTACTAAATTTGGTACAACTTAAATTGTGGGTGAACCAATAGAGTTGGAATATGGTCTTGTGACCAATATTTCGCGGTACTACAAACTCTTGGACAATACAAACTATGTTGGGAAGATACGATGATTCATATCTGTTAAACTAACTTTTTCTTGTGAATAGGCTTATCGATATAGCTTATATAATACCGACCGATATCAGGTATATTGAAAATATTATATCAATTCTTACTAAATTGTTTTATTATTTTTAAAGTTATCCATAGAGGAAACTTTGGGTCCTTCGTTGGGGCTAATAGAAAAATATATTTTCTTAGAACTATTAAATATGAATTATCATATCTCATGCCAATTTGAGGCTCCTCAAATAACTCCAAAAAACGGTGTTTCAGACCACTCACGACTAATTGGTGGTTTTTCTTCACACCTTGGTGTAGAATTTCGTACTTTTCCACTAATAAACATTGTTTACTATTTTATTAATAACTGGCATTGAGCTTGGCTATTAGGAAAAAAAAGAAATGCAATGACATCCCGAATGAAAAACGAAATATTAAACTACATACTTTCAGGTTGGAAAATTGGGCTACACCCTTGAGCTTACCGAAATCTTCCAAACCCCACAGTTTGAGCGAAGTCTATAAATGTAGTTCATACGAGAGACAGGCATAATTTAATTTTTACGTATGTATTCGTCATATTACACTCCCTGCAATTGTATAATCTTTAATTTCTGTAAATATTTTAAAATTAAAGTTCATCTTGACACTTCAAACACTTTTTCATTATGTCGAGTAAATGAAATGATACAAACATATTTATATTCTACCGAAATTAATTAATTAGGTGGATTTGTTTAAACTAATTTTTATGACATCAATGAATGATAATAATGAAGAGCATCAAAGAGGGTTGGGGTGGGTAAGACAAGGAAAGCTGTTGAAAATTACAGAATACAATAAAGATGTAACGACCATAACCACAATACAAACAACACCTGTAGAAGAGATCCTAATTAATCCTTGACAACATATATATTTACACAAACACGTACACGACTACACATTGTGTGTGAAGATAGTATTACAACTTTAGCTAGACATGCTACGCACACATTTATACATACAAACAAATAAACAAAAAATGTTACATGGAAAGGCAAAAATATAATAATACTAATGTAAGTGTTGGTAATAAAAGGTAATATCCTAGCTAAGATAGCTAGGATAATGCCAAACACCACGACCTTTTGTCCAAAACATTGTGGGGAGTTTGATGGGACGGAAAGTAACATGAGTTTAACTAATTTAGGAAATGATCCACTGTAAAAAATCGTCAGACCCTAAGTAAGGAGGTAATCCATTTAGATTTGCTGTAGACACCCAAAGAATATTTCGGCATTTGTTAACAATCCCCCGCCTAAGAACTAACGAACAGAAGCTGAGGAGTAAACCCTTTTTAACCCTCTCAACAACAGGTTCTTACAACATTTTTATGACAACGACCTTTATCAGTATTCGGGTTGGAGTTGAAAATATTAATGTAGTTTCGTTCGTGGCGGTTTGTTTACACCGTTTCCAAGGGAAAACTAACTGTGAAATAATTATATTCTTACAGTTCAATAGTTCCGAAAAGTTGTATATGGAATAATAATCACTATTGTATTATAAGTCGAAATTGCCCACATAAATAACGTTTAAATACGTAATATTTTCATAACATTTTTTTTTTGACTATTGTTTTAAGACATTCGCTTCCCCCGGTTTGGTGTTTGGATTTCCAGGTGTACATTTTTATTTTATTTTGAACTTAAATTAAAGAAAACGTTATGGAATTTTAAGAAAAATTTTGGGCAAATTTGCCTGTTGTAAGGTACCCGTTTCTCAAGTTTTGATGCATAGCTTTTATTTCATTCGCAGCTAAAAGAAATTAAGTGATGACAGTATAGAATATTTAGAAAAATAATCACACAAAATATTCGCTTGTGTGTGTATATTGATTTCTAAACAGGCTTATTTACCTTCCGTTCATCTTTCCATGGATTTTTTTTGAAATCAACAACAATCGCAGTTACTACACAACATGACACATTTCCCTTTCGAAATTAATGAAAACCAGTCCCGAATTTTCATTATTAGAAATGGTGTAACGAAACATCAACATATTTGCATCTTGTAACTGAGAAATGGTTATTTCATCAAAAGTATGTGTATGTGTGCGCGTGTTTGGTTGTCTGTTTGTAAAATGGTGTTGATAATGATGGTGAAAGGCTTTTCAAATTTTTTTTGTAAATATGTACACAATGATGACAGTACAATATGCGGCGCCGCCATTTATTAATGTCACGCAATTTTTTCTCTTTCACACAAATTGGGTATATTTCATTTTCACTGAAGAACCCAATACGTCACACTTTATGTCTCGGTCGGACGGTCTGTCTGTCTGTAGCTGGACTTTGGGACTGGGTGGTAATGGGTGTAGGAAAACAAAATAAACCAGTTGTCGGATCATAATCTAAAACATGGAGGCTCTATTTTGACTAACTGACTTTTGATTTTTGTGTTATTCATTTTTCTATTTCTTTTATTTTTGACATGTACGCCAAGAGAGCAGTAGTAGTAAGTTAGTCAGTCCGTTAGGCTGTCATAGATGCCAGAACATGGTCTTAAACTACTCATATGTCATATTGGCTGGAACTCATACCGCGTCCGTTCTCCTCGTCGCCTGTTGACGATTTTTATTTGCATTTGTCACGTTTGTCACTTTATTTTGTACTGCTGTTGTCACTTGAAATATTTACGAATGCCAAGTAAATTTCTAGCGTCAACTTGACGCTACCACGTATGGCAAATGGAATACAGCACCAATGGCAATCTATACTTTGTAGATACGTATAATGTTACAATGTAAATACATACACGAAATAGATGACAATGTGAATGACATCAAAAAATAATCCACTAATTTACATGATTAACGTAGTATTTTGGTTATAACGCCATCGGACCCTTATCAACAAGCGCCATCATGTGTGAGAGTGTGTGCTGCGCGGAATTTTGAGTAATACGATACTCTGTAGACATTATTCAAATCGCCATATATGTGTGTCATGTAATATTGTCATCGTAATCAATTAATTAATCATGTTTATTTGGTAACTACACCAGGAAATGAAGGCATTATGTAATGAATATGACCAGATTGTCTATAAATTTTGGTAGAATTTGGGACTGTGGATATGGTGTCATTTGGGTAAATAATGTGTAAAAAAAAATATTATATTTTCTGGTGATTTAATTTTAAACTTTCTGTTGTTCTATTTTGAGAACAAATATCATTATTGAACTCCGGTTTCTACCTTTTTTCTCTAAATGGATTTGTATGTATTTCTATGTATTTCTATGTATGTATAATTTCTTGACTTGAGTAAAGTTAATTCAACGTGTAAATTCCGAGATAAGGCTATCGTTATGCTGGAAACGATTAAAAGTACTGGCAAATATACAGCATAAAACGTTGATAATGTGCTGACCGATATAATCAAAATATATTTTGAGGAATTCAATTCAAATCAGGGAGGAATTGACTAAAACGAAAAACACTTTTCAAGGCACTTTCAGGTGTCATTAATCAGGTTTTATTTGCATTTATATATAACCGTTCCATTCGTTTTTTTACATAAGATATACTCTACAAACCTTTTCATGGAATATAGGAGGGATCAGTAATCCACGGCATCATCTAAACAGAGAATTCCGTACTAAGAAGAGGGTTTGCTTATTTTAATGAATCTGGGAATGTTGAAAGCTCTTCCCGTCATACATTTGGATTCAAACAGTTTTAGTGATTTTCATTTTTAATTTTCATTTTCCGTAATGTACATTTAATTGATGTTGTCGGGTTAAGTAAAGCTTTAAAGACAAAAACTAGATGATGTGTATGAATATATTACTTGTGAAAATTGAAAATCTTCAACACATACAGATACAAAGCGGAGAAAAGACTTTATGACAATTTGCAACTTTTTTCGAGTAAAAATCAGGACGTATTAGATCCAGATACTGCTGTGTAAACAATAACTTTATATACCCACCACCAAAAGGTGAACATTTAAATTTAAGACTAGAAACTTGATTTTGCGGAAAATGCTGAAATTTGGAGATGGTGTTATATTCTATTGAGAAACCGTGACCAACATCCCGAAAATACCAAATATTGGGGGGAACCATTTTCAATACCAAACATCCTAGAATTAACTGTGCAAAACTTCGGTCATTTAAATTGCCTGTTCGACCTATAGTGAATTGGACCGAACTTGTCCAGCTTTTTTCGGTAGTGGTTTTTCTATGCGTTACAGATGGGATGATGAGGCTTTGTTTTCAATGTCATAGCCATAAACTCAAATTTCCGGAGGCAACCTGGATCGTCCTTGACGATGTTAAATTTAAATTACTCAAAATTTAAAATATAAATAAAAATCGAAATGCAATTCAAAACACGACTAACCTTATAATCTATCAAACACAAACTGTCAATCCACAAATATTTATCAACATAAAAGAAAAACTTCAATATCGAACATACTTAACTCGTAAAACTTTTTTTTTATCGTGGGGCTGTGATTTCATATCATGGGTTCTCATAAAATAATAAACCTTCCTGAAAAGCAATTATCCTTTAAGCATTATTAAGCAAATTTCTTTCTGACAACAATTTCAAAATTTTTCATAGGAAAATATTATTTTTAAAATCACCACAACTCTAAATATTTTGATTATACATTCAATTAAGTTGCACTTTCGACCTCGGATTCAGAAGTTATTTTTATGACGCCGGAATTCAATTGAAAACATAATTCCCAATATTCACTTGTTCACTTGAAAAATATTTGTTTTATTATATTGGAATTATAAACGATGCTTATCTCGACTGTTGATCTTCTGTCTTGTCTTTCAAGTTTTTGTAATTAACGTCTGCTGCCCGGTTGGTGGTAGATATTTGCACAACATGGAACTTTTAAATAAACGGGAACCCCTTCCCTAAAAAATTATATTTTGCCACTATGCAGGAGGTCGAAAATAGATTTTTCTTTGCTTCTACATCGACCACTGATAATTTTGGGGTTATGTGTTTTCTTTTTCATCATCATTTTTTGTTTTGGTTTTATTTCCTTTCATGGTCGACAAATGTAACAAAGACAATTTCATTGGAGCGTAATGTTGTTTTAAAACTCACAGATGACCGCAAAATTCAATCAATAAACCACGTTTTCATCTGAACATTTTTTTGGTTTAGGGTTCGAGGTTTGGCCATTGTCTTTTTATGACAATATGTGTGTTTGTTGGCGTTGTTGTTATTTCTACAGTTCCAACTACACAAACACTAAATGTTCTAATACAACAAAAACACATGTTAAATGTTTGCTGAACAGCCCTTTTTGGCGAGACTTTTACCTTGTCCGAATAGAACAAAACAAGAACACACACAGGGACATTGCCAAAAAAAGAACCAGTAATTGATGTTGACCCCAACAACCACGACAACATCATGACTATCGTTGAACTTCAATATCCCAAAACATAAAACCATTCCACCACACCCACAGCTATTAGATTGGCGGTTTTATTCACATCGTGTCTATGTTGGTTGGCCATTTGGAAAAATGTTTACCAGTATCTCACCTTCAGCAAGTGCACCCGAATCCTCTCGTGTTGGCTACAATCCATTGATTTTATGGCAACACTAAGATATCCAGTCAGGCATCCTGTTACGTGTATGAATGAAAAATTTAAGTTGGTGGTATTTATTTTCTGGACATGTCTAGTTTTTTGGTTGTTGTACAACAACGCTTCATAAAGAATTCATTTAGAACTACAAGTAATAAAACACTTTATCCTTGTATCTATCACTTTCGGCTGCGACGATGGCAACAGGATACACGTTTAAAGAAAAAACTGAACTTTAACACGAACCTCATCTTAAATGTTGTTGTTATTGTTGCTGATGCTGAGAAGGAAATAACCAAATGTTTTCGATAATTTAACGGTTATATTCATGGTACAATTATACATGGATGGATATCTTTTATCAACAAATTAATTTTCGTATTCCACTTTAGGCCTTTCAATCAGCGTAAAATTGATGTCGATCTAGAGGCATTTATTTGCTAGTCTGTCCCAAAACAATCGAAAATTAAGGCTTCCATTATATGGGGAGTATAACTGATCTGGGATCTATATTTTGGTGGAGCAATTTCCACCCAATAAAACATCCAAATGTCAAATTGTAGCCAAGGTTGAAAAGAGTGTCTGAAATACTTAGAATATCGAGAATTGGGGGTTGTAATGGTTACCCCCATATAAGTATTACAACCTTTGACGATAGGTCTCCGTTGTCTGAAATACTTAGAATGTCGAGAATTAGAGGGTTGTAATGGTTACCCCCATATAAGTATTACAACCTTTGACGATAGGTCTCCTTTGACGATAGGTCTGATATTTATCGGCTGCTTTCTCAACAGAATACAAGATTCCAACCTAATTAAAGCTTTTTGTAGATCACATCAATGTAGGAGTAGTTTTAACATATATATCCGATTATGCGGGACAAGTCGTAGTTACTGTTGAGTATAATCTTTGACACATTCTTTGATGAAACATTTAATTGGCCCAAGAATGAACGATTTTGCTTCAGACAAGCCATTTATATTATATTTTGATATATCTTTCATAAATATTTTCGTCGGATTTCATGTAAATGACGAACCAAACACTCAAGACATTTATTTATTTTTATTCAATTGGTTCAAAAATGTGTATACGTATAGTGTTGCCAGGTTCCGGTTCGCGAAAATTGGGTTTTAGAAAGCTGGACATTGGGTTTTAGTAAGCTGGACAAAGCATAAAAAACTGGGCACAAAAATAATGAAAAATTGTTAATTTTTTCACATTTTACCCAACGTTTGTCTGATTGAGATTAAATTATGTACACCATAGATGGTTCGACCCAACGACGAGATTTTGTTCACATACAACGAAAATCATTAGAGAAATAGCGAAATTTTTTACTTAGTTCTATAAAAAATATACAATCAAATGTTAAAAAGGTAACATCAAAAAAATTTCCGAAGTTTTTGAAACTCATTTGAAGCTGGTCCTTCGGCAGAGGAGCTGTAGACTCTAAATGGGGTTTTAATCCAAAGATGATGCACTGGATCTTTAAAGCTTTGTATAGATCCAGTATATCCAATTAGGCAAATTCCAATTGACATCCAAATAAGATATGAAGCGGCCGTCACAGATTTAAGACTTAAAGCTATGAACGAGTGCATCGACATCGAACACAGTAGACCACATAAAAATATTTTTTTCAGAATATAATCAATATAATGACAGACAATAAACCATAACCTATGACAATAAACAAGCCATAAAAAATATAACCTCTACCGAGTCACAATAATAAGAGGAAACGAGATAGCAAATATACTTGCCAGAAGTGCGACCGACAGACTATAGAATAATAGAAACCTATATAGGAATAATAGGAACCGAGATAGCAAATATTCTCACGGGAAGTGCAAACGAACCTACAATAGATGTAAATAATGCCAAACCATTTAGTGCAACGCGTCTAGAACTAGGGTCATGGGCAACGGAAACCTACAAATTCTTTGGAAGACTCAAACGAGGATAAAGCAAATCATAACAATCAAAAAAAAGGAAATCAGCAGATTGACCGGTATTCTCATAGGACATAACAGCCTACCCACTTACACAAGATTGCAATTGATGTAGAACGTGTGGAGAAGACAGCGAAAAGTTGGAATATTTCCTATGCCGCTTCCCAGCCTTTTCAACTTTTCGAACCCAATTCCTTTCGCGAAATAAAAGACCTAACCTAACCCATTATAGTGTTCTAAGAAAATTCTATTTAGCTGAACAAATTAAATGTTATCTTGACACTGGAGAATTATCAAAAAGCTAGACAATCCAGTCATGTCCAGCTAAGTTAATATCCCTATATACTTTCCGTATATTTTTTCAATTCACACCATTCACATAATTATGAAAAAAAACACGACTTTCCAAAGTCAAGACAACTATCATATATTGGAACTCATTAGACTTTTGTGCTCCTTAGTACTCCGTTTTTATCTTTTTTATCTCCGTGTTAAAATGGTACTTTCTTTATTTTAGGTTTGGTCTATTAATTATAATATTAAGAAAACTTTCCAAAAGTAAAACATGACTGCTTATCCAATAAACCAAATCATAAAATCTGTTCCTTTTCCATCCCTCTCTCTCTTTCCCAAACTAAACGATTGATTTCACGCAGTCGATCCCCTTACCCACAAGCTATAACATGACATATCACTAGCCTCAATTATCATAATCAAGTCTAGATGCCAGAGCAATTGTTGTAAAGTGGCACAATGATATCCAATCGCCATCATGTTTAAGCATGAAATTAACGTTAAATGCGAAAGAAAGAGGATGGGAGCATAAAATTAACCCAATTATTTGATAAATACGAACAAGTGCCGGTCCGACCGATAGTCGTTCCGACAAATGAATGAACAAATGTTTCCAATGAATGAAACATTTAATCATTGAGAAATTGAATGAATTCTTGGCAAACCCAACCATTGGTCATTGCATTTGATGAGCTCTGCTCTGCACGGCTAAGCAAAAACGGCAGCAATAGAATGGCTGCTATGACAAACGCTCAGACAAATGGAACACTTGGAGTATGGAATTGTAATTGTGGTCGGCACTTACCTGAGAAAACTCGTTGATGATGTTGTGGCGGCTTGGCCTGATGTTGTTGATTGCATTTGCCAATTGCAGCTGCTGGTTGTAGTTGTTGTTGTGGACGAAGTACTGATGTTGCAAATATGATGAGATTTGCTACTAGCACTGCTGGAACCTCGTGCACCACCACCGCCACCACCTCCTCCCCTTCCAGATGCCGTTACAGAAGCATTTATTCGAAAATCCAAAGATGTTGATGTGGTCGATAATGGATTTGTGGTGGTTGTTCTAGTTGAAGTGTTGCTTGTACTTGTTGTTGCCGAACAATTATTGGGATTGCTGCTGTTGCTGCTGGTGGTCCCAGACAACGTTCCATCACTCAACGCCACGGTCTTGTGTCTATTGGCCACATTCTGGGGGGCTGGAGCAGCATCCGTTGGGGCTTCCGTTATTTGCGATGCTATGGCCTTTGTGGCCTGCTGTTGCTGCAGCAATTTGATGTGCAGCGTCTGTGGCTGTTGCAACTGTTTATGTTGGTAGGTGTACAGTGGTAGCTTCGAGACACGGGTAACATCTGTTGAAAATCCCTGGAATGATGTCGTTGTTGTAGTCGTCGATGAGGCCGACGAGCCAGAAACTGATGGAGATCCTGAAATGCTGTGGTTGCAGTTATTATCGCTGCTGTTGGCGCTGTCACAGCTTCCGTTCTTGGCGATGGTTGTGAATGAAATGGTTTCTTTAATATGTTTGCTACTGCTGTTGCTGTTAGCGCCATTATTGCTGCTGCTGCTGTTGTTGTTGTTATTTCTGTCACTGCTGGTATTGTCGGCCGTGGTGGCACACGGATCACGGTCGTAGTAGTTGTTGTCGTCTGTATTTTGATTGAAACGTTGATGCTGTTGATTACGATTTCCACTTAGTGGAGTTGGCTGGCGTTGTTGTAACACTGATGAACTTTGACTGTTTTTTGATTGCTGTTGCTGTCGCTGTTGATTTGTCCGATAGTTGTTGTTGCTGCCACTGCTGGTGCTATCATCTCTATTGGATTTATGTTCGGCATTCAATGGATAATTACTTCGTAATGCATTTTGCCGATAGAGATGCGAGTGATTTGTCGCTGGGGATGTTGTTGTGGTTGTGACTGTTGATTCCGTGCCAATATTCGAAAAGGAGAACGGTGTATATGTTGAGGTGGCGGGACGTGGAACGTGTAAATGATGGGTATTTGAACTTAGGCGTGAACTCGGCGATGACCTCAGGTCATTGAGCATAATATCCAAGTCGGTGGCCAATGAGCTCAAGAGCTATAAAAAAAGAATAAAAAAAACAAAATAATATTTCAATAATTAAATGTGATTGCATTTGAAGAGTGTTTTTTTTTTGTATGCCGTCGTACAAATAAAATGTAAGAATTATTATTTTTCATTTACATATTATACGAATAATTAATTGCTTGCGATTCTGTTGTTCTCATTTAAATCTGTCAATAAAATCCAATTCAAAGTAAGAACGAAAAAACAGATTTGACAGCAGCAGGTTCATATTGGAATTGAAATTCAATGAATGTATTTCGAAACAACATGTTTTGGTGTTTTCGTTGTTAGAATTTTAAATAACCACCTGAACCCTAAGAAAATATTTTCATTGTTCTGTCAGCTCAATAATTAATGAAGGCAAGATATGGAGCGGGAGTAAATTCTTTTTTTTTAAGATTTACATAAGTGAAAGGAATGTGCAACAACGTTGCAGTTGAATAATGAAACTGCACTTATTTGTTTATGTTTGAGATCTAAATGTGATGTTTTCTTTCGTTGTAATTCATAAATCACGAGTTATTAATATTTGCTATACCTTAATCTAGAAAATATTTTCTCATTTGACTCGTGTCTATGAGATCAAATAATTATTAAAATGTTAGAGAATTTAAAAGTAATACCGACAGTCAGTAGAGAACTTGTGGCATTCCTGTTTTGGATCAGGTAGAATTGTCAGGAGGACTAATGTCCAAACTCTTAGCAAACTCACGTTATATTTTTAAAATTAAATTATTGTTAGTGGTATATGCGATTATCAAATTACTCATAGCACTGATAGTTCATATTCAATAGAAATAGGCGCTCTACTTCATCAGAATATCGTTGATGTATTGATATGATACCACAATAATACGTCATCAGACAATTATTGCAGATAGTGCAGACACATATCGCCTCTGAAAAATGTTATCATTGAATTTCATGTAAAACAACTAGTTTTCATTGTAGTTCGATGCGTATCGCACAAGAAAAGGCTTTTAAGATAATTGAATGTAACAAAATGGGGAGAACACAAGTCGACTTGGAATCATATGTCAAGACATTGCTTTATTAGTTGGTCTGGTGGGTTCGAAGTTAACGGTATATGGACTCAGTTCGGGGTTTTAAACTTAAATAATAATAAAATAATATAGTAAAAATGAAAAAGCGTGCCGCAAAGAAACCGCGTAACTCTTATAAAGCCGTTATTTATGCATTTGCAGCTTTATTTGTGGCCATTATAGCAACTCTCTTTATCGATACTGGAAAACCCAAAGCAGACAATATTGTCATACAGGAAAATAATGATAGTGCAGAAGCTGTAACACCCTCATATCGAAACCTTAGTGTAGAATACACCACAATACGACCACCGAAGCCACCAAAACGACATCCACCTCGAATTCCCAAAGAAAATTTAACGAATTATTTTCACGAGAGAAGTAAACATAAAATATCCATTAATTCGGACTATTTCCGATTGCCCGAAGTAAATGGACGACGTAAAGATTGGGAAAATTTGGAATTAATTGAAAGTGATCAACAACGCCAGGGTTTGGGGGAACAAGGGCAGGCTGCTAAATTTGAAAGTAACATCCCACAAGAAATCGTTGAAAAAGCTTCCTTGGAAAATGGTTTTAATGCTTTCCTTTCCGATCACATATCGGTTAATCGTTCTGTGTTAGATGTGCGTCCAGAAGGGTAAGATTTTTTGGCTTATCTAGTCATATAGCAATTTTATGAATTTTTTATATTCGTAGATGCCTGTCAAAACCCTATTTAGCCGAATTACCCACAGTCAGCGTTGTCATACCTTTCTACAATGAATACTTTAGTGTTCTGGCTAGAACCTTGCATAGCATTGTAAACCGCACGCCTCGAGAGCTGCTAAGGGAAATAATTATTGTGGACGATAGCAGTGTTCGTGAGTACCTCAAGGAACGTTTGGATGAATATGTTGAGTATAATTTTGGTGATCTGGTAAAAATTTTACGTTTGCAACAGAGAACGGGTTTAATTGGTGCCCGCTTGGCAGGTGCTCGTGTTGCCACGGGAGATGTTCTCATTTTCTTCGATTCACACATTGAATGTTCCTACAATTGGCTGCCACCACTACTCGAGCCAATTGCCCTAAATCATAAAATTGCCACCTGTCCCATTGTGGATGTAATTAATCATGACACGTTCCGCTACACGGCTGCAGCGACAACTGGTGTACGTGGGGCTTTTGATTGGTCCATGTTGTATAAAATGTTACCTCAACTGCCGGAATTTAGCGGTGATAGTTCCAAACCCTATCCCAATCCAGTTATGATGGGAGGCCTCTTTGCCATACATCGCGAATTCTTTTGGGAATTGGGAGGCTATGATGAAGGCTTGGATATCTGGGGAGCAGAACAATATGAATTGAGTTTTAAAATTTGGATGTGTGGTGGTCTTTTGTTTGATGTGCCCTGTTCAAGAGTGGCACACATTTTCCGCGGCCCCTGGGAGTCAAATGAAAAACCTCGGGATTATAATTATGTGGCAAGGGTAAGTTGTTACAAAATCATTATAAGAAAAGCAATAATAGTTCTTTTAATTTCTTGCAGAATCACAAACGTGTGGCTGAAGTTTGGATGGATGATTATAAATATCACTTCTACAAAAGAGATCCCGAACTCTATGAAAGTATTGATGCTGGCGATTTAAGCAAACAAAAGCAACTACGACAATCCTTGCAATGCAAATCCTTTCAATGGTATTTAAATGAAATTGTTCCCGATCTGCTGTTGACCTATCCCATTAACAAACTTGAAAATTATGCCTCGGGGACGATACAAAGTCTTGCATTTCCCCAATATTGTTTGGACACCCTAAACAATGGCCGCCAAGGATTGGTCGGGCTTTATCCATGTGCCGAAAACAAAACCCACCCTCAACGTAATCAATTCTGGGAACTAAGTGAATATCGAGAAATACGCCAATACAACGGTGATCTATGTCTAGATGTTCAAGGTACAACTGCCAATTCAAAAGTGTGGATGTGGACTTGTCATCAACAGGGTGGCAATCAATTTTGGTTCTATGATCGAGAACTAAAGTGGTTGGTGCATGGGCGTGCCGGTATCAACTGTTTGGAGGCTGTCCAACAGGGTGATCAAATGTCGGTAATAGCCAATGCCTGCGATAACAGTAATCCACGAATGAAATGGCAATTTGCCACAATTAATGAAGAATTATTGGATACATTTCACTTTGACCTGGATTAATATATCATTGTAATTTATTAATAGATTATTATCTCTTAATTTATATGACTTTTATTATTGTATGTTGTTTTTTTTTTTGCTTATTGTTTTATTAAAAACAACATAAAACAATTAATACATATGTAGCTACATACATTCAATGTGATAGGCACATTGTCTCAATCAATAAATATTAAAACCACAAACTTCACGAATCGTGGTTTGTGGGTCCTATGTTCCCTAGAAGATATTCCAATGAAGAAAAAACAATCAATTGAAAGTATGTTTTGATACAATATAGATAAGAAGATAAATACTTTTTAACACACAATTTTAACAGTGGAGAACAATGTACATACATTTGGAGTAGATATTATTATACGTCGGCTCATTTATTATTTTCGTGGATTCGTTGTAAATATGTATGATAAATAAAGTGGAGAAAAATGTATATTCCAAGAGATAATATTTTAAGAATTAATTTTATAAATAAACTATTTTATTAAGTAAATATTTTTACATTTCGAGGTAGTGAGATATGTGAAAACATTAAATGGCTTGAATCAAGAACCTACTACACAGTGCAGCACTAAAATCTAGAACCAATCGCGACCGCCTAAATCTGAAAGATATCTTTAATATGTTAAATACCATAGTATACTGTTTTCTATGAACATATAATTGGTTCATTTTCGATGACTTTATAAGACTATAACCGTGTGGAAAAGTCATCCAATCCAAACGGGATTTTAATACGTTTGGTTTGTTTTTCCTTTGATTAACTTCCTGCCATATTATGTTGATCGAATTAGAAATGAATTCTAAACCCATTGCGAAAAATCATAAAAAAGCTTCGAAAATGTATGTGTTTTTGACAGTCGTGCTATTTTGAGTTTGTTGTAGTATTTTTTAGATTTTAGTTCAAACCGCTAGGGGTTTTTTCACCATCATAATATTTCAGATTTTGGCAGTCCCGATTTTTTCAAGATTTTCAAGTTCAAAAATGTGTGACATTGCTATTAAAACTAAGATTATTGTATTTTTTTGAGGAACGAGTCTCTGCGGCTTCTAAATCTGCTTCTGAGACCTTTTTCCATGTCATTCCATTAACTAATTATCGGACTGAGAAGCACTGTAAGCACTAATTTCTATGTATAAAATAAACATTGGTAAGCTACATAGTTTGTTATTTTTCTTCGTCGCAGTATTCAGAATAAGGTAGTTAGACTTAACCAAAAATCTCCAAAAATTAGCTATTAAGCATTCTGTCGTATTTAAAAAAAATAAACAAGTGAGCGGAGGCGCATAATCGGACGGGGTCGACCAGACGATAGCCCACATAACTACCACGGAACTCTAACTCTCTGCGGTTCAATATTCCGAGCCTGGGCACTATTTCGCTATATTTGCACTTTCTTCAACGATTAGCTCCTTTGTGACATCTTATCATATTTTCTCGGCGAAAAAACTACTCCTAAGAATAAAATTTAGATATTGTAAAAAAAACAGTAAGGAAAGTAGGACTGGGCCGACTATATGATACCCTTCACCATTTTGGGTATATTCAACAGATGAATCCTAACAGACGTTGTATTTTTAAAGAACCAGTAAAATGAAATTGGATCCATAAACATGTCATTCTGTAGCCTTTTTTAAATTTTTCATTTTGTCAGATAGCACTCATCATTCTAGACTTAGTTCAGTACGCTGTGCCAAATTTCGTGCAAATCGACTTTGGTACACCATTTACCTTAAATCAGACGAAAATATATATGGGAGCTATATCCAAATCTGAACCGATTTTAGGAAACTTGGCACACATCATTCTAGACCTAATTCATTACGCTGTACCAAATTTTGTGCAAATCGAAAGATATATAGTGACCGTTTACATTAAATCGGACGAAAATATATATGGGAGCTATATCTAAATCTGAACCGATTTTCACGAAACTTACCACACATCATTCTGGACCTAATTCAGTACTCTATGCAAAATTTCGTGCAAATCGAAGTATAAACAGGGACTTTGGTGTCCCATTTACTTAAATCGTACGAAACTATATATCTAAATCTGAACCGATTTTCTTAAATTTCAATAGGGTTCGTCCTTGGGTCAAATAAGTGACTTGTGCCAAATTTCATCCAAATCGGATCATAAATGCGATCTGTACTTAGTTTATAATTTAACATCTTCAGACGGTCGGACATGCATAAATCGACTCAGAAAGTTATTCTATGAATATTCTCAAAAACCATGTGTCTATCTCGTTTCCTTTTGCCAGTTAAAAACATATGCACAAAGACATAATACATTGAGGTGAAGGGTATAAAAATTGGCTCGTTTGAACCGCTAAATATTGACCTTCATTATCATCGAATTTTTGTGAAGTCGGCTTGCAAATGTGGCGACTAGAAGACCATACAAAAATAATGTTTTCGGTCTATTTCATCCACGAAATATCATCTGATTATCATCGAAAATTATAGGAGTCGTCCTTGACCATAACCGGAACTTCATGTTAAATTTTATCAGCGCTACATTTCCGTCTTCTAGTGTGGTAATGGTAAAGTTAAATTATAACTCTCGCATCCGGGTACGTACATCAATATAATGGGTTTCAGTTTGAAGGTCAACCACTCCTCTTGGATATAACATTAACTTCTCTCCATAGCATACAATCATGTATAAAATTTTTTGGCATGCGCCGAACGATAATCAGCAACTTCTTATATAGTTATTCGCCGAAAATATTGGCTGCATACGAAACAGCATAGGCAGGACATTTTGGGAAGAAAGTGAAATGTGGGAACATATACTTTGTTATTGACAAGCATTCTAAACATATGAACTCAATTTTTGGGAAACGGCTTCATAAATCATCTCAATAATATGCGAGATTCCTTAACAAATTTTAAAATTTGTAGTCCAAAAACACTTTTTCGCGACCACTGTACTCTCAGGCTTCCATTGTGCTCACTCTAATACAATCAAATCCCAACACATGTTTCACATCAAGTAGCTGGTTCGCATGTCAAAAATTGATTGAAATATTGGTAGTTAAGAGATTTTTATGTTTCGCCTAATAGTCGAATAGTTCATTGGAAACCATATGTCGTAGACTGCTCAGTTGTACGATCAATCTAATGCTGTATGCCTTTGCGCGTATCCATCTATCCAGCCTAGATACAAACGAAAGATAGGCAATTGTATGAATGAACAGCTACATAGATGGATGACTAGCAGCGATCATAACTTCCATTGTTTCTAAAGGAGTTACGACTCGGACAGACTTCGTAACTCTTCAAGCTATCCGTCGATGTTAATGACAGTGTAAAGTCTGTCTGATGCGATTCGATGATATTGCGTTTTAGTCCATAAATATTGATGAGTTATGAATTTGATGGCATTTTACAGTAATTTTAATTTCACACACTTCATCTATCCGGCTATGGATCGTAAAGATGTTACTGCCAGTGTAAGGTGTTGTCAGTAATGTAAACCGATTGAAGCGATAAATGAATTTTTATGGCATAACGGTTTGTCTACATATATGGGGGTCAATTAAATTGGGTGGTTTTCCCGGAAGGCGGACAATTCCCTTAGGCTGATAAATAGTACCCATCTGGGCATAATGTAATAAAGGTTCCAGGGATCGCTTTTATTTAGCGGGAAACTTAGTGATGGACCTACAAAATTCCAGAAATTTTATGTTTCATTAGAAAATATATATTGTTATTGTCAGCACGCCTGAAATATAAACATATTTTCTACCGACCTCTGATCTATACACAACATTTGAAATATTTGCAATTTGTTTCCCATGATTTGCATGCGGATTATGCAAAACTCTTGCCGACATATGGAAATTGTGACACAACGTTGTCTTCACCTTCATAATTAAAGGCCGCAAATTCTTGAGAAAATCTCCATATCGTAAAATTGCACACATATGCCAAAACTTATCTCTGTGCAAACATCATCCAACCGCCAACTATGAGAAATGTTTGTGCCACAACCCTCCTGACCTTGTTTTAATCAATCATTATGGTTAAATTAACTGTTGATTTCAGTTTAAAGTTAGCCACCAAAGCTTAAAGCCAAATGAAACAAACAACAATAACATAGCGAAAATTATTGTCTATCGTTTAACAGCAAATCCGTGAAAAGTTAAATTGAAGTTTTTTTTTGGTTAAAATTTGGGTTTTTTCAACAACAACAAAAATCTACCCATTGACAGGTATCTCCAGACGTTCGGTCGACCATCTGTGCCTTTGGTGCATCAGACAAGACAATATTTCGCTGTTGTATGTATATGTCGTTATTTTGGCGGCATGATTATCACTTGCCATAGGAAATCGTAAGTGGTTTGATGGTTTACAATGCTCATAGACCACAAACTTTAATGCTGTGATGTGAGAGATCGTAGAAAAGTAAGTATGTGAACAGCAACGGGTAAATGAATTGCGATAGGTTACTTTGTTAGTAGGTATGTACTCGATGCTCTCATTTTTAGTGCTAAAATATAGTTACTTCGATTGAAAAATGCGCAAAATCAAATAAGAAAAAGTAGACCGATATTTATAATTATTAGTAGGAAAATGTGCCACCCATTCAGGGATCAATATATCAAATTAGAGCTAAACGTTTGGAAAACGTGTATGAAATCCGAATATCCGAAATTTGATCCAATATTGAAAATGTGTGGTAGGGAGACACATATTCAAACATATAAAATTAAAACCAATCTGGTTGAAATACATGCCTAAATTGTCCAAAATACCGATAATATGTTGTGCAAAGTTTGGTTGTGTAAATATGGGATATATAAATATTGACAATTCGTGGAGGAGGTACCCGAAGGAGTGAACTTATGGGTCCCATCTTGGTAATTTATCTAGGATTGGCAAAAATTGGTTGTGCAAAGTTATGTTTAATCGGACATTCCATTCGCCTGATATTCAATTTATATATATTGAAATGTTGACCATGTGTGGGAAAGGTACCAAAAGGAGTGGAC